CAAATTTCAAATGTACGATACAGTGTAATTAACGAGTCACCATGCTTTATATCAGATGCTCAAAACTTATTCATCTTCTTTTCCTGCTTTTACTTTTATTAGCATTTATTTGATGCTGAATTTACACCTGGTCCATAAGTTTTTGTTTCTTCAGTTTCCTCTGGGATAGCTTTTTCTTTTATGCAACCTCCTCTTCTGGTTCAGGAACAATCTGATCTTTTGCAGTAAGGATCATCTCAGTGTGGAAGGGAGAGCTCACATATGGGCTCTGCACTGCACCTCGGGAACCTTGCTCTCTGGATGTGCTTAATGACCAGAGAATCTCCATCTAAACCTTCAAGTTCAGCATTACCTTCTGCATTTTAAAGCATGTTCAGCAAAGTTTCAGCACTCCACTGGGACCACCGACCCTGTGCCCAGCCCCACTGCTTGGCCCTGGGCACACCTACCAACTCCACCACGGTAATGAGGGAATGGCACAAGTTGCTCCTGTGAAGTCACATCCTTCAGACACTTGGTGGCTTTAGACATATGCATATCCTTGAAGGCCTGGGCTGTTTTACAGCTGTTCTTAAAGGCAACACAATTTGAACCTTTTTGCTTTTCATGATTTTGTGGGTTTTTCTTGGTCAAGTGAATAGTGAACCATTTTCAGAGGTCACCTCAGGCTGCTTATAGGAATAGACTTATTCATCTTATCAAAAATTTGTGTCTTACCAACTTCTCCCCTTCTCCCATATCCCTTAGCATCTGTCAATCACCATTCTACTCTGTTCCAATGACTTGACCTTTTATAATTCTGCATATATATAATACCATGAAGTATTTGTCTTTCTCTGTCTGGTTTATTTTACTGGAATTTTACCCTCCAGTTTTATCCATATTGTCACAAATGGTGGGATTTTCTTTTTGGGGGTGAGTCTTAATAATATTCTATTATATATCACATATATACAATGTATATGAACATATAGTATATATCTGGTACATATAACACATAATTACATAATACATTTATATATAACATTGGCTTATCCATTCATCTGTGGATGTACACTTCGTTTTTTTTCATATCTTGGCTACTGTGAACAATGCTAAACATGGAAGCATAGATATCTCTGTGAGATAGTGATTTCATTTCCTTTGGTTCTGTACCTAAAACTGGGATTGTTGGATCACACAATTTTCCTATATGTACTATACATGTAGTGGTTCTATGTATATATGTATATAATTTGAATATTTTAGTACTAAAACATATAGTATTTTATGTTACTATATATATATATATATATATATATATATATATGTATTCTGATTTTAGTTTCTCAGGAAACTTCTGTACTGTCTTCTGTATGGCTGTGCCAATTTACATCACCACCAACTGTGTACAAGTGTTCCCTTTTCTCTACATCCTTGCCAACATTTATTTGTTGTCTGTTACTTGGTTTCTAATTCTCCCCAGCTCTGATCCATTTTGTAAACATTTCACAAGGTAACATTCTTAAAGTACAACCACAAAAAATCACTACCGTTTCTAAAACAAATAAACATACAAAAAACCAGCAAATAAAACTACTAGTCCTCGCTGCCTATGATTTAAACACTTTAGCCTGATTGGTTTCACCAAGAAAATATTAAAATATTATTATGGGGAAAAAAGGACAGGGTGGGGCAAAAGTAGGTTTACAGTTATTTGTATGAAAAATAGTACAATAATTAATAAATAATAACATAAGAATTAACTGTTTCCCATACTGACAACTGTAAAACTACTTTTGCCCCACCCTGTATAAATCAGCAAAAGGAAAAATGATCCATAACTCCATCATTGGAAATGATCTCTGTGGATATTTTGGCATAAATGTTCTCAGGCTTGCACTGTTAAATTGAATGTTTATGTGCCAGTCACCGTTCTGGGCACTAGAAATATAGTTGTAAACAAAAAATTTTTTTGAAAGTCCTATTCTCTAGGATCTACATTCTAGTAGTGGGAAGGATGAGGAGGCAGATATTTAAAAAATTAAGTAAACTAGACCATATATTAGTAGAAGATCATATGAAGATGTATAAAACTAGGTAAGGGAATGGGGCTAGAATTAGGACTGGGAATGAGATTAGGTTAGGAATTAAAGTTTGGATAGATTTAGTTGCATATTTATAACTGTACTGAAAACAACTTTGGCCAGATAAAATTGACCAAGTGTTTGCTGATATTGACCTAAAGCCAGATATCACCATCACAGAGTGAAGTTCTGAGATAAATTAAAAATCCAAAAATTTTATTCAAAAAATATATTACTGAATTTTAAGTCTTAAAATTTCTCTATATAATTTTTCAAGTTTAACATTACAATATAGGTATGATACATAATTTTTCAGCACTGACTACAGTTGGTAGCAATGTGATACACATTTGTGGTATTAAAAAGATACTTTAAAAAAATTTGGGTGTTATACTTTTATTTTTTAGAACATCACCTTTATTTGGGACTTTGGTGAAACATGAAACACAAGAGATTACATTGTTCTGCAGCTAATTAACAAAACCAGAAAAACAAATAACTATAAATTATATGCTAAAATCAAGTAAAATATCAGGACAACTGTACACCAAGAATAAGTAAATTGCCTGAAACTTGCCCTATCAGAAAAAACCTGCCCTGGCTGGTGTAGCTCAGTTGATTGAGTGCTGGTCTATGAACCAAAGGGCCCCGGTTCGATTCCCAGTCGGGCACATGCCTGGGTTGCAGGCCAGTTCCCCAGTAGGGGACACTCTAGGGGCAACCACACAGTGACGTTTCTCTCCCTCTCTCCTTCCCTTCCCCTCTAAAAATAAATAAATAAAATCTTTTAAAAAAGAGAAAGAAACGACCTAAGTCAAATCCCAAACCCGCCCTAACCTTTTCTTCCATCTCTGAATTTCTATAGCACACTTTCTGTAATTTATAAGACACTATTTGTATTGTCTATATTGCTCTTATACAGATAGGCATTAATTACATCTCAAACTAGACACTAAGTTCATTTGAGAAGAGGGATTTCATGGTATCTACCACCAATATATGTAACAGGCACCCATCAAAGACTAGTTTGCACTTTTTGGCAAGCATTTCTCTACGACAAGGTTGGAACAAGAAGGATGATATGTGTTGGTGGTAGGATGTGAAATATACGAGAGTAAAATGCAAATTACAAAACAGGAGTCACCATCTAATAAGTGGCTGCCTAGACAAAGGGTCTAGTATAGTTTTGACTTGCTAATACTAAAAACCAAACTACAGAGTAATTCCAACAACACAATATTTAGATGGGGAAAAAAATCCCTCAACACCTGTGCACTTTATTGCAACCAAAGATTAAATAACAATTGTAACTACTCTATTTAACATCAGTAAGTAATGTATAACTCAAAAATAACATGCTGAAGACATGGTCATTCGGTCAAAATCAATCCCAATGCTGCATTTCCGCTCCATGTGAAGAAGATCCTGGAAAACCCATGCTACCTCTTCTGCTTCTTTGCAGCATGTCTGAATTCTGGTTAATTCCCCATAAAGTGTCCACTCACTTCAGCCTGAAGTCTTTGGAAGAGTCAGATTTTCCTTTTAAGTATTCACTCCTCTGTTTCTCTAACATTCCTTTCCTCATGTTCTTTACAATCTTTTTTTTTAATATCTGTACTGGAGGTGACATGTTATGAATGTCGTTGATTCAAAATTTTGGAGGTTTTCCCTCCTTGTGAAATTTGGGGATCTCAAAATTGATATTCCACTCTTAATTCTTTCTCACAAAACGAGGAGAGTTGCAAATGAAGCCTCTGCTCAAAAGCCTGGTGGCCTAAAAGCATTTAATAAATTAATATACTGCTGAAAGGTTATTTTGTTTGTTATGATTGCTAGCACACCCCCCACCCCCCCAAAAAACCCACAGAGATTAGATTTTTATTTATAATTAACTGATCTGGAGCTGGGAATAAAGTGGTGAATAGACTGACGTGGTTGAGTCAGACAGTAAGAAGGAGAATTAAAAGAGGGAAGGTTCAAAAACATTCAATAATTCCTTTGCAAATATTCTTGTAGAAAAAAGTGACTAGCATCAACTTCCATCCAGCTGGATCACAGACCACAGAAAGCTAGAGCTGGAAGAGACTCTCGAAAGATGATCAGCCCATCAAGCTTTGTGCACACACATAGGAAATCAACTTATATGTTCATTTGATCAGAAATACTACAAGGGATAATAAATAAGCCTTAAGTACTACTATTTAATACACACTAATTTACATGTGTTATCTCCTTAAATCCTTACGTTATCACTTACTTTAACACTATTATCTCCATTTTAGAGACGATACAACTGAGACTTGGAGAGGCTAATTTGCTTAAGGTTACTTAGCTAGTAAGTGGCAGAGTATTATGTTTTAAATCCAGGCAGTTTAGTTCCACAAGCACCTTAAACATTAAATAATGTATTCAAATGTATATCTCTAAGCACAAAAAGCAGAGGTAATATATAGAAAAAATAACGAGCTGCTCGAAGGTGATAGAATTTAATATTCTCTTCTTTCCTCAAAACATTTTTTGCTGTAGTTTTTCCTTTTTTACACCATACATGCAAGTACAAAATAAAAATGGTGATTATCAAAACTATCCCATTTGCTTCCATTATCTCTGCTCTCTGACAAGTCTTCCTAGAGTCCTCATTCACTTCTAGGTTTAGGTTAACGTCCTCATCCCCAACGTCGATCTCTCACGACCTCTCCTTCTAAGAAGGGATAGCCGGTCCTCCGATTCCTCAAAGTGCTTTTGGCCACTCAGCCTCCCATCTAAGTTTGCCGGAGCTTTTTCCTGGGTTTGCTTCCTCCGCCCCTTCGAAAACACCCCTTTCGGGAGCCCTGGAACAGATCGAGTTTGGAAACCAGCAAGGAGGGCTGTCTCCACAGTGTTTACTAGGCCTCCAACACATTCCCCGAGCCCTGCCCCCTGCCCCCAGCTCCCAAAAGCTTCCTGGAAATGTCCTCGTTATCACTTCCCCTCAGCTGGGGGCTGGGAGCAGGCGGTCCACTCCGCCCCCGGCTCGCACTTTTCCACTGGCGCGCTGGCTGGCTGGCTCTGCAACGCCGCAGTCCGCCGCGCCGGGGCTTACTGCGGGGTCCGGGCTTGCAGCTCCGCTGCGCGCAGAGGGCTCAGGGTCCACCGAGACGCGCCGCTGTCCCCGCCCGCGCCTCTGCCGGCCTGGCCATGCGGGTCCTCGGTGGGTGCTGCGGGGCGCTGCTGGCGTGTTTCGCCCTCTTGGTGTTTCCCATCGCAGAGGCAAACTGTGAGTAGTCAGTAGCGTCTTGTCTTTCCCCAGCAATGCCGACTGAACTGCCAGCCTTGTTGGATTTCTTTGCGAGGGGCTGTAGTCTCCTAGAAAGTTTACGGCAAGCCGGGACGACCACCGGCTGATGGAAGCAGCCATGGATCTGTCCCGCAGTGTTAATGGTTGGGCACAGTCAGTATTTGCCCTGCTCTGGGAATGATGTGTTGCCTACAGGACAGACTGAAAAACCCGAGTGGCACTAAGTATTGAAGGATTTAGAACGCTTTACCCATTTGCCCCCAACAGCTGGAGTTCCCAGTCGGAGGACAGGGATAAGCACATTACAGTATAAAAGTGAGGGAAAAGGAAACCCACTATCTTTCCTTTGTACACACGCCTGTCCCCAATGAGCACCCCCTGCTGCAGCTTCTCTTCCTTTTGCAATTTCTCGACTTTGAACTTGGTTTGCTTGTTTCAACATTGACAAACGAATTGTTTTAGAATGAGTGAAGTTTTGGATAGCAGTTGGCAGATGTCATTTTCTGACTTTGAAATCAAAAGGCTTGTTAAACATTGTATTGCTCAGAGGGTTTTTGACACTGAGTGCCAGTAATCTAAGGTCGTGGCAGGAATTTTTGTCTTTATCTTTGTATTCCCAGTTCTTTAGGTTCCCATGTCTGGATTTAAGGCAGGATATTGCATTTTATCTGGAAAATACATGAGAAGTATTAAGGCATTTAGAACATTTTCATTGTCAGTTAATTTGTTTTCTGAAGTTTAAGAATGTTCATTGATTTAAAATGTTTACTTGTGTTGTTTTATTCTCAGGAAATGGCATAGGAGAGAAAAACTCTGAATTACAAATAACTTTTAGGCTGCATAAGGCTCCAGTATAAAAATTTGAAAATTAATGTCAGGAGAATTAAGTGGGGATTTACTAACAATCCACTAGTTTTTATAAATTATTGCTGAGGGTGAATGAGGTATTTTACATTCTAATTTAGAGGCTAAGACATTATTTGTTGATTTTATATGAAAGAACTGCAATAGCAGAACTTTAACACTCGAGCCTGTATCATTAAGCCTGCATATGGCCCATAGGCATTACCTTATTGTCTTCTATGTAGTTCATGAAGACAATCAAATATTTGTCTGTTAATCGGTGCTTTGGAGACGAGAAAGAAGCAAAAGTGACTTGCCATGCTTACTGCTCATCATCACAGGAATTTGCTAAGCCCTTTAAAAAAGAAATTGTTGTATTTTCATTGAATCTAGACACACTTAAAGAGAATATGTGTGTGTATTATATGCAGGTATTCAAACTATGTGTGGAGAGAAATATACTTGTTATGTATAGATAGTATGAGAGTAGATAAATTAATTCCACCAGTATAGCATATAAAGTCTCTATGGTTTCTTTACTTTAAACAATTTGGTAGTTCAGTTGGATTGAAGGTCATCTTGGTTTGCTGATGAAGAAACTGTGATACAGATGGAATTAATTTACTCCTTAATATTTTAAATTTGAGATATAGATATTTGGTTTATACTTTATGTTTAGTTGCTATTTAAAGAAAAGCAAATCATAGGTTTAGTTTTGAGAGTGAAAAATCCAGTTTACCTTCATTTTAACAATAAAAAAATTGTTCAGATATGTTAACTGACTTTCCAGACATTTTCAGACCATACGTATATATGGAGAGAGAGATTTAAAACATATATTGTATACATATTTCATGTCATTTCCCGCTAAGGGCTGTGGTGAAGAGAACTGGAGGAAGGGACAAGTCCCCTTTTAGCTGTGCTAATTTGGCACTGTGGAGACTTCCACTTCTGGGTAGACACAGTCTATCCTAGACATTACTCATTCCTATTTTCCTTCTCTTTTTTTACTCTTGTCTTTTCACCTCTGACTATTCCTCTCACTGTTTATCCATCTTTGTCTTAACTTAAATTCCTTTTCTTTTTCAGAGTTCAAAATGTTGCACTGATGGAGAGTTTTTATCAAGGTTTGGTTAGAGTTGGGGTTGGTGCTAGAAGAGTTAGAAACAATTTCTGGTATGCAGCAACAACAACACTCTGTGCCATATTCTATGCCAGGAAACACAGAGGTGCTTTTCACAATAGACCTTTTCTTTTCACCAAGCTTAATAGCCTCTTTATAGATAAATGTTCTATATCCATATGTAAACTTTCAAAATATTATGAGAAAAAATATAAGAAGCCTGGTAATACATATATCAGTAGTCTTTAACTGCAAGCAATGGTATTGATAATGAAGGAAGGGAAAGAAAAGGGAAGGGAAGGAAAGAGAAGGGCAGGGGGAAGGAGGGAAAGGAAGGGGGGACGGGAAAGGGGAAGGAAAGTAAAGGAAAGTGAGAAGGGAAGGGTAAAGGGAAGGAAGGGGAGGAAGAGAGAAGGAAAGAAGGAAGGAAGGAAGGAAGGAAGGAAGGAAGGAAGGAAGGAAGGAAGGAAGGAAGGAAGGAAGGAAGCTGAGTGGATTTATTGGAGGGCTACTGAGTGGCAAGTTGAATAACCAGGTCTAGAGAAGCCAGGGACTTGGAAGTATAAGTGATCAATATAATGGAAACTCATGTGGTCACTATGTTAGGAGCTGCCACCATATGACTTAGTTTTAACTGCCTTCTAGTCCTGTGTGTCTCTATTCACAATTGAAATCCCTAGAAAAAGAGAGTCTCATCATATCAGCTTAGCTTATTTCTGGAGTTTTGTGATTGGTATCTCAGTAGAGTCAGGTAGAGTGCCCCACAAAGGAATAGATGCTGAGAAGGAAGCAGAAACAAGAAAAGTCTACACATTCTAATTATTGGCTGTACAACAAATGCACAGGACCTTCTTTTTATAAAACCATTTGATAGTATTTCAAATATATGCATACATTTCTAATACAATGTAATCTAGTAATGCGAACAGAAAGTATCTCCTCCTCAATAGGTTATCACTACAACCAGAGAGGAAGGATCAAGGGCACCCTTTCCTAGTTGAGCATCCTTGGGTGATATCCATGCCTCATCTAGTTCTGTCACACTCCCTTGTCAATGTGCTATGCCTTATGGACAGAATGATACATTGTAGTGTACCAACACCTACTATATGCCAAAAATAATAATAAAAAAGGGGAATATAGGTACGCTTTAGGGCTTGCCTGACTGTCTTGTTGATAATCTCGAGCTGGTGTTTATGATGGACTTCATCCTTCACTACTCAGTTCATATCTCTCTTACTCTTAGGCAGTTCCTCATGTTTGGGTTTTTGTCTGCTCCAGGAGCTGAAAGAACCACACCGTTCATCTGAAACCATCTGAGCCCTGTGGTTCCTACCTGTGGATGGTTGTTTCCATCTTTTCTTTTACAGTTTCTGCTGTGTACAAAAGTTATTGTGGAATAGTAACTACCCTTTTAACCCTAGTTTATATGCAGCAACAGCACTATTTTGTCTGGATTATTGTCATTCCAGGATAATCCTCTCTTTCTCACCAAGAGTCAAGAACTTTAAATGGCCATAAAGCAGCTCATCTTTTAATTCAGTAGAAAATATATTAGGTCCCCGCACGAATATATTCCTCCCTGGTTCTTTAATTTCTGGATGGGCAGAACCCATTTGTGAGGGAAGAAAGCAAAAAATTCGAGATTAGGTCTTTGTATTAGTTTCTTAGGTCTGCTGGAACAAAGTACCACAAACTGGGTGGTTTAAGCAACAGAATTTATTCTCTCACAGTTTTGGAGACTAGAAATCTCAGATCAAGGAGTCATCAGGGTTGGGTCCTTCTGAGGACTGTGAGAAAGAATCTGTTCCACGCTTCTCTGCTGGCTTCTGGTTTCCAAAGACATTCCCTGGCTTGGATATAGCATTCTCCCTATGTCTTCACACTGTCTTTGCTTGTACCTCTCTCTCTCTGTTCCAGATTTCCCCTTTTCATAAGAACACCAGTCGTAATGAATTAGCAACCATGCTATGACCTCGTCTTTTTTTTAAGTGGTGACTCAGTTACCACTTTAAAGATTTTATTTATTTTAAGATATTATTTATTTATTTGTAGAGCGAGGGGAAAGGAGGGAGAAAGAGAGGGAGAGAAACATCTATATGTGGTTGCCTCTTGCCTCCCTCTTCTGGGGACCTGGCAAGCAAACCAGGCATATTCCCTGACTGTGAATCAAACTGGTGACCCTTTGGTTTGCAGGCTGGCACTCAGTCCACTGAGCCATACCAGCCAGGGCTGACCTCGTCTAAACTTCATTACCTTCAACATTCCATTTTACAAATATGTAAAGTTGTATTCACAAGTACTGGGGAATGAGGATTTCACCATTTTTATAGGGGACACAGTTCAACGCATAACTGGCACTAAGCCTCAAATCATGACAAGTGTTTCTTTCCTTCTTTCTACCTCCATTCCTGACTTGTGTATTTTAGCTTTAGGAAAAAAAGTACCACATATGAATGACTGCTCGTACTGAGAAGGTGCTACATTTTTTTTTCAAACCACATTAAAAGATAGTGTAGTATCCCAAGGGCAGTGACTGAGCCCTCAATAATTGGTCAGTATTTCATTCCCTGAGGCTAGCTCCTTTAAGGTCTTAGAGTACAGAACAAGACCAATGAAAACCATAATAATCATCCCATTCACTTATTTCCTTAATTGAGTTAATTCTTTAGTTAGAGGTAATATTGTGTAGCTTAGCATAAAGCATTGAATTAGTCTACCAATAGTGGCGCTGACAAAAAATAAACCAAATAAAGAATAAATGTCTCTTTCTCTGGGTACAAGTTGCTGTTCCTCCCTGATGGACAGGCTCTAACTAATCAACTGTCCACTAGGTAGCTGGTTAGATTCTGTTGTACGTCCAGTTCCGACAGCTGAAGGTTTTATGACTTCTCTTGAAAAATGAACAAAGGAAGATCAGCAACACTAGGCCTGCGGTCCAACATGGACAGACCCAGCTAGAGCTGATTCAGAGCTGCTTTCTTTAGACAGAAACTCAGTTTGCCACAATTCC